TTTTATGTACCTCATGGTGAGCACCTCAGCTATCAGTTCGATGCTCATCCGAGAAGACAAAGTCACTCAATGGGCAATTTTCTATGTCAGCGAATGCTGAGAGAGGCGAAACTCGGATACTCTCCCATTGAAAAGACTGTACTTTCCATTATCTAGACGATGAAGAAGCTCCCGCACTATTTCCACGAACACCATGTCCATATACTCACTCGATAGCCCATCGGCGCACTTTATGAGAAGCCTCACCAATTCCTGAGCGAGTACCAAATAGAAATCAAGCCAAGTCCTTCCATCAAAGGACAGACCCTCACCAACTTTGTAATAGAATGCACGACTAGAGAACCCACCCACATCACCTCGGCTCACGGAACGATGACTATTGGACTCTCTACACTGATGGATCTTTTACCTCAATAGCTTGTAGGGGTGGTGGCGTCCTCATTACACCTGATGGTTTCAGAAGCCTACAACGTTATGCGTTTCAACTTCACGGTCGCTAACAATGAAGCCGAGTATGAGTTCATCCTCAAAAGCCTCATGCTCACCGTCGGCCTAAAAGCACGGTACATCTACATCGAGTCATATGAAGTAAAAGAAGGGAGCATGAGACAGTATAAGGAGTCGACAACTGAAGTGTTGAAGGTATTTGAAACCCACGAGATCATTCATATCCCTAGGACAGAGAACGTCAAGGCTAATATACTCTCCAAGTTAAGCCCTGAGTCACCGGAATACATCTCCAAAATTGCTAGTGTGGAGGAGCCTAGCATGTCAAACATTCATGTCAGGTCCATCCCGTGCATACACCCGCATTCACGTCAACCTCATCCTATGCATACACCTAGCCCCCCGGATTGGATAAACGGACATCATCACTTACACCTCATCTGGGGAAATAACAAAAGACGAGGAGAGGGCCAAACTGGCAAAACGCAAAGCACCAAGTTACACCATTGAGGTCGGGAAGCTCTACAAAAGATCCTATAATGGCACCCTCCCTGATACCTCCACCTAGATGAGGCCAAGGTGCCATATAGGAGGCCCATTGCGGCATATGCTCATCAGCATGGCCAGGCACCTCATCATCCAGGGGTACTTCTGGCCGGCGATGGTCAGGGATTGAGCAACATACTAATTCCTTTTTTAAGGTTGCGAGTTGAACTGGTTGAGCCCCAACTAAGGGGAGATGAAAAATAAATTCATCATCGTCGCCATTGACTACTTCAAGAGAGATAAGCAACCTGACAAAAGGGGGCAAACTCGCTCCAAAATACGAGGGCACGCACATAATCAGCACCATCATCAAGGTCGGCACTCACAAACTCAGGTACCCAAATGGGTCTGAAGTATCACGGTCGTGGAATGTAAATCATTTGGCGAAGTTCTATAAATAACCCTCACCCCCAAGGTCAAAAGCATATTTACAAGCTAACTCCTTCACGGGTTATTGATAGACCTTCACCCTCGGCCCACACCACCTATCAATAAAACCTACATTTCCTCCATCTTTAAAGATTCAAAAAAGAAAACCACAAACCTATGGGGTCACCTCGGCGACCCACGATATCAAATCCCAAAGTGTGGCCGCTGACAACATGACGGGAAGCCTGAAACGACTGGCCGATGTTCCAACAGGAGACTCTTACTGCGTCGTCCTCTCGAAAACGTAGGATAACGAGCATGAAATAAAGGTCGAGGTGACGAATTACTCCAAACACTCGGGGCCACTTCCAGGGGACTTAACGCGACAAGTGTCAAAATGACCAAACTCCAGTCCCCAATGGGGAAATGGACGGGAAGCCCCAAGTGGAGGAAAACCCCCATAGACGAGGGGCGACATGTCTCGCCTCGTCTAATCCACAAAGGGCTCCTTCAATTCAAATTTCTCACTCTGAAGAACAAGAGTAAAGAGATGCAAAAAAAGGGAAGTCGATGGACCGACCTCGAGCTAAAAGAAACACCCCCAATACACTAGCCCATTTTTAGCTAAGTACATATCAGAAAAACTAGCTTTAAGCTCCATGGACGCCAAGGAGTTAATCGACCCCCCCCCCCCCCATGGATACTAGAGCATTGGCAAATCAAGAAAAGAAAATGGCAAGTTCGAAAGCAAAAGATAATTTCATTCATTGGAAAATGGTAGGTACTATACAAATGAAGGCACGCTGGCCATTTAAAAAGGGTTGGCCATACAACAAAAGCCTAAACTACTGATGACCATCGTCCCCTCCCCGAAAGTTTGCAGGGTCCTCGATGGCTTCATCGTCGTTTTCATCATCCTCGCTGATATTAAAGCTTAGTATATAGCCTGTTTATCGGAGAGGGGAAGATCCACCTCGTCCTTGGGATTCCTCATCTTGAGTGGCAGGTCCAACTTATCAAGCTCTATATACCGTAACATATGACGAAGCCTTTAGTAGATCAACTTCTACATCCGGCACTCAACGGGGGAGAAAAAAACATTGACCTCCTCATTCATCAGGCATAGTCTTGATCCAACTACCGAAACAAGCAGACACTACGTCAAAGGACTAGCGACGATGCTCGTCGGCTTTCTAGACCTCAACCATGAAACCGACAACAACTTTGTCAATGGTGCCGCCTTCAACTTCGCGGTCTCAATGTCGCGCTTCTTGACCTCACCCCGAGCCTTCTCAGCGTTAGACTGAAACTTCAGGGCCTCACCGAGGCGATCCAGAAGACCAGTCTCCCTCTTCTTAGCATCCACGACCCACATCTTCAATTGCGACATCTCAGTCCTTAGCTAGTCTAGGCTAGAGAGGGCAAAATCCTCCATGGACTTCAGGGTGGTCCGGTGTGTCCTCCTACTCAAAGTTGAAGTATCCATCGGCTTCAAGCTCAGATGCCACAGTCGGAGACCCCAATCTATCTTGGGAATCAGGAGAGGACATTACACTCAGGGTTTCGAGACTTAAAGATCTAGAACAAATTTTTTTCGCTACCACTGAATCTAACACCCTATGAAGCAAACTATATAAAAAATATGAAGAACAAACAAAGAACTGACCTTTGAAGGCGCAAAAAACACTTCATATCTCTAGATTTTGGTAGCACTCTGTCACAATCAAAGCAAAAGTGAGAGTGAATGCGTTGTAGGCGAGGTATTTATAGGTACCCCCAACGGACATTACATGTGTCACGCACCTAGTGGTTATACAGGCGGTCGCCAAAATCCCAACCACTCGGTGTGGGAAACGTGCCCCACCTCCACATCAAGCAACACAACTATCTGCGAACTAGCGCAATGATTATCACAGGCGAAACATGCAACACCCATATAAAACCGGTTGTACCGCTTCAACATGCCTCGTCTCTGAACAAACACTCAACGACATACACTACTCCTAGACCAGCGTATAGAATGCCAAAACATCATGCCCGTACAGCCTCAACTCGGCTAAGAAGATCATCCCTCGACCTCATTCACATGTATAAAAAGGGAGACTTTTTACGGGAGAAACACATGTTAGACAAAGCCCGTAGGTGATAGCATTCGGCCAACGACCCTCATCCAAGGATTCTCCCACGGGGATTCCTTGGTCAGGTTTTGTCAAAAAGGTTGGATCCACGGGCCCATTCGCAGGTAGCACCTCGACTTCAAACCCATTGGCTACTCCTCAACCTAAACTTTTCCCGGCTTGATGGAGTGGGGGACTGGGGGACTCCACCTCGGCCAAAAAAACAAATTTTAAAAACAAATTCAAAACCTCAAACCATTAAGGAAAAGATACCTCGGGTACAAGAGATCACGTCTCGGCCAGGACTGAAAAATCAAAAACATCAAACCACAAGAAACAGAAGCACTCCTTCTAGGAAATTCAAAGCCTCTTTGACCAAACACAAACAATAATAAAAAAGCGCAACCCAAGATGCTCTACTCCCTTTTACCTCAACACCTCTTGACTCAGAAAGTGGGAGACTCCTGATAGAGTATATGGGTCTGGACCCAGGGCCCACATACTCATAGATACACACAGGACTGCAAGCTACTAGACTACCTCTTGGTTGGGTCCCCTCGTCCAGACGAGGTCCCACCACGCAAAATAAATAATGAACTCAAGACATGGATCAAACAATTTAGCTCAAGAACAGTCATCATAACCTGGACTCCTCGGCTTGGCCGCCTCGACCTGGTCACCTTGGCCAGGATCTTCAATAGATATCTTTCACATTGTACTTAGTAGAATAGCTTCATATAAACAGGCTTTAAACAACCCATCATTGTAATCGGGCCTCCCAAGCTGGGAGCCCAACCCAAATTTCTTCTATAGACACTCCCTTTGGGGGTAGTTGTAGGGGTTAAAAAACATTGAATGCAAATACTTTCTCTCTCGAGCTCTCACCTCCTCCTACTCTTTAGAATATTACTCTATCATATATGTTACACCAAATATTTCGATGACAGAAGTTACACAAAATTTAGCTACATTAACATCGTCTATGTTGTACAAGAGCACTGTATGCACGAAGTCTGATCCCACAATATAAAAATTCCCAATTTTTACTATAAAAATTACCAGTAAATAAAGATAACCAATAAGAAATTATTTATGTGTCATAAAAGTTAAATTCCGATGCTATAAGTTATTTTGTATGTGAGAACTTATCAAGTGATATCTCCCTAATACTTCGTATAATGCATATGTGATTTGAAAAATTTATACATGAGTATTATTTATAAATTAAAACTACATCATTGAATCTAACGATAATTTCATGATCTCTTGTCTAACTTTTCCTCTAACAAAACATGATTATGTGTCACGAACATGCATTTTAGTGAAAATTCCAGTTCAAATATCATCTGCTTATTTTAAACAAAATTAATGCCTGACTCACACTTGAAAATGAGTAGGGGTTCTCATGAATATAATTCCTTCATGTGGACGTATTAAATATAACATAACTTGCATATTTGATACAAATATTTTACATATGGACCCAAATTTTTATAGAACTAAATGGTATGTATAAAATACCTCAGCTGTTGTTGTGGCCAGAGGCATTGAAACACCAACTTCGTCCCCAAGGGCCAGAGCAAGCCTCATGTCTTTTTGTGAATGTTTTAGAGGACTCCTGGGGGAGTAATTGTGTTTTATCATGGAAGGCCCTTTCATCTTGAACAATGGATTAGCAACAGGCCCAACATTCTGCCAAAACAAATTCTTTAAGTAACACAAGCTTATGACTTGTTTATTAACAAAGATATTTTCTAATTTTCCAAAAAAAATGAAAATATGAAAATTTGAAAACAGGATAACCTTATTCTGAAAAAATTGATGAAAAAATGGAGAAATTAAAACAAGAAAATGCGTCTGCCAAATCATTTCCAAAACAGAAAAATAAGATATATCTCTGTTTTCCCTAATAAATTAGAGAAGTGATATTTACTAGTTTTCCAAATTTGGAATGCGCGAACGTTGCAGTGCATATGCATGCAGTGAATTTGTCTACTAGCGCCTAGTGGTGGATCTGTCCCGCTACAGTCTCGGTCCGGCCGATAACTAGACGGCCTCGATCCGATCGATGATCAGACAATCCCGATCCGGTCCATGTGTTTTTTAAATCAATTTTTCAAATTGAAGAGTTTCACAAAAGCCGTTTGACTGCCAAACTAGCCGTTGGGACCGATCGGAGCGGGTTGGTTTCGACCCCAACTTTCCTACATCCGGGATTGGATACCCTATTTGGACTATACCATGTCCGGTTCCAGACCGGGACCATACTTTCAGTCTTCCGGCCGGTTCTAGATCCAGGTAAAAAAATTGATGAGCGTGTTTTTAGATTTAAAATTGAAAAACTGGAATATGAAAACAAAAAACTGAAGAATGAAAATTGGACAAAGAAAAACATAAAAGAAAATCACAAAATATTTTTGTTATTGTTTATTTCTACAAAAATTCTATCAATTTGCTCGCTGACCAACACGTCCAAGAGAGTTTGCTGATCCAATCCACTTTTGTCAGCCAACACAAGTCCTTCTGCAAATGCTGTCATCATGCTGCAACACAATAGAGAACAATCAAGCAAAATCATTAAAATGTCCTTAGCTTTGTCCCATCTATTATCCAAAATCAGGATTTGTTTATCAATATCATGGAATATATTGACATGGACCCTAGCCTTCTATTGAATTTGTATTATGATATGAGGCTATGAGCGAGGAGAAAGACTAGGCTATTAGAATCGTTCTGTTAGCTTCAAGATTATATTGAAATGATTAATATTAAAAGATGATGAAGCTCGAAACGAAATATGGAGTAGGGAGTATTATTCTAATAAGAGTCAAGTCATGTTGACATCACAATCACTACACAATTTTTAAATAAGAATTACCCACAAAAAATGAGTGTGAATGTGATGTCAATATGGCCTATGTGACTCTATAAATGAGTCATGTATATATGACTCTCTAAAATTTTGGTCTTGGATACTGCCAACGATTATTAGTTTTACTCTCTTTTTAATTTTGTGGCTTGGAACATCCCCAATGCATGATATTCTAGTGTAAATAAATTATGCTAACTCATAAAATTAGATATTGGGTGTCTTATACCTTCTACAATGAGTCTAGTCTTTGCTAAGTGGGGCAAAAAATAATTAAGCAATTTGAAGATTACTTTTCAAGAGTAGAAAGTCTTATGAACTTGGTGACTTAGCAATTTATTGAAAAAAGTAAGTCTACCAAATTTCTAGTCTTTATACTACGTCCCAAAAAACTTTGCCATTTTCAAAACTTTGACCGACTATATCTTTTTATCGAAAATTATTTATAATATAAAAGTTGTATGAAAATGTTCTTTGTTAAAAGTATTTTCATAAAAGTATAAAATTTATAATTTACATAATATTATACTAATCGAAATTAAGGTTCAAATTTTTGGAAATGGCAAAGTTTTTTGGGACGGAGGTAGTAGTATATAAAGTCACAGCCGTCCAGGGAGACCAAATCCTTTATATGAATAAGGGAAACAACTAATATAATATGTAAATAGATAACTTATTTTTATTTAATTAAAATAATGAACTCCACTTGGATATTTAATGTTAGTGTTGTTGGGTGTGTTTCGGAAAATAAAGAAAATTAATTAAAAGAAATTAATTAAATAAAATGACTAGAGAAAAACAAGAAAGGAGATGAAGCAGAACGGGTCAAGGTGGTTTTGGACAGGTCGCCCGCGCACGCAAGTCGCGATTTTTCTTCTCCGATTTCGGGATTTGATTTTCACCCTCTGCGCGCGTGGAGAGAGCCTTTACCCTTAGGAATCTTAACTCCATAAGGGGGGAGTCCCTTTATAAAGGGTTGCAAATCCCTTGGGTTTTTCGGTGTGGGAAATTAACACACTAGAAACTCATCCTTTTTCCAAGTTTTTTCATTTTAACGGGTAAACTTCGAAAAGCGATTTCTCATTCACCCGTTATCCGTTTTGAGCGTACCATATATCGAATTGTAGCCCTTAACAAGGACAATCCAAAACCACTTTGACCCGACCCAAATCGGAAGTGGACCCCACTCAAAAAATTGTCCCAAAATTACCATTTAATTCAATTTTTTCACACATTTTTCCAACATCCCCTATGTATTGTTTAGATTAAATAGTCTTTTATATATTTATTTAAACTAGAAACTCTTGCATGCGGGATGCTCTTAAAAAGGCATAATGTGTCTTCAATAGCATGGCGGAAAATAAATTTGAAATTAAGCAGGCATAACACAACTTTTTTTTACCTAGCCATTATCATGTTCACAACAAGTTTCATTTTTGCACCATTTCCAACCTGTCCCAAGAAAAATGATTTCTTTCCCAAGACATCAAAAGCTGGAAGCAATTGACTATATAAATCCTACAATAATAAGTAAGAAAAAGAGTTGTAAAAAAAAACAGGAAAAAGAAACATTCAAATTCACCAAATACTAAAAAAAATCGAAGACGCGCACTTTAAAATATGGCAAACATACATGTTTTATGTTTACCTTCTCCCCAGCAGCTAGAATAACCAATTGCCCGTCTTCAGCGGGCTTTTTGCTGCCCGAGACTGGAGCTTCAAGGAAAGTACCGCCTCTAGATATAACTGCCTATATCAATTCCGGCTACATTTTTAGTTGATTTGTTAGTTTTACTAAATCTATCATTAAACTTATTTGCAACACTTTATAATAAAAAATAGATTAAACATAATTAAAAGGGAGCATTTGACTTTGCAACCCATGTTTTGAGTGATATTTGACTTTGTATCCAATTTTTAAAATCATTAATGTATACATCTTAGGAGACCAAAAATTGTGAAGGAGTCGTGTGCAAAGTAAAATGATTTTAGGCTAAAGAGTCAAATAGGCCCTCGAACTAACTTAAAAAGTGCAATTCATCCCTTATATAGGAGGCTCCGTCCGGCCATCGCCAATTGGGGTGGTTCCCGGTGGAAAGTTTTGATGAATTTTTTTTAGAATCATCTTCACTAAGTGTAGTTTACTCATACCAAATTTAAACTAAAAATTCAATCGGAAAGGTTTCTAGTACACCAGCTTGGACCTGGAGCTAGAAACTTAATATACCACCAAAGATGATGAACTTTTTCTAACAATCTTGTACCAATTATCTGCCTACGAAGGAACAACTTTTACAGTGAAAAATGCTTGTATGGCCGAGATGTGCAACTTGTGCTTCAACGGATGAAAGCGCTATGCATGTGTTGCGATTATGTCCACTTGCAAAGGAGGTGTGGAAGAGTCAAACTAGGAAATTCTTGGAGGGACCAATGACGACTTTTGGGGAGTGGGTAAGAGTTGTAGTAGGAGGGCAGCTGTAATATGGATGAAATGTCATCTTTTGTGTGATCTATTGAAAGCCTTTGAAAAGCAAGGAACGAGTAGGTCTGAAAACTTATAAATCTAATTAGATTTAAGTGGTGGCTTGCGCCAAATCTGTTCTAGCGGGTTGAAGGGCTGCATAACAGAAGGAGACAATAGCAACACATGAGGGGGGTAAAAGAAGTGGGTATCACCACCTTTAGGTTTGGTCATGATTAATGTTGATGTTGCTTGCCAAACTAAACTCAGGAAGACATGAGAGGGCTAGACATGGTGGCAAGGAACGAGAACAGGGACTTTGTAGCTGGCCGGAGAAGAGGAATATTACGACATTTCACAGCAACTACGACTGAAGTGGAGCCAAATTATTGTAGAATCGGATGCTCAACTAGTTGTTCGAGGAATTCATAGTCCAAATGGTGTTTCTTATAATGAGGGTATTTTTGAAGATATAAGGAATATGTTAGGTAGTTTTGCTAAGTATAATGTCAAGTTTGTGTTTAGGTCAGCAAATCAGGTTGCCCATCTGATCTGTTAGCTAGGCAAGCATTTTATGAGCATTGTAAACCTTGTTATCATTTGATTCTAATTAAAGGTTATTTTATTTTTAAAAAAAAAAGGTTATGCACTACTTATTACTCTTATGGTACCCGCCTTTATAAGCAATCAAAATATAGGCTATTTATATAGGAAATAGACGCTATCATATCCAATAATAATTATATAGGGAATATACAAGTATTCAATTGTTTTCAAATTGGGTATTGCGCATCTCGTTTTACACAATACATATTGTTTTAAAATAATATATATATATAGGCAGGGCCCCTGCCTATAGCCGCCGCAGGGTTGATTAAAATAAAAAAATGACTTAACGAGTGATATCATTCGCACTCACTTTTACTTGTATTTATTCCACTTTTGTTTACTCCTCTTTTGAGCCAGAATATAGTACTCTTATTTTTGAATTTGACACTACTTTTAATTCTATTTCAAGAATAAGTGGATTGAATGTAGTTCGTATACCTCATTTATTTTCGAAGAAGTATCCACATCAACGGTCGACATATGTATATAACTCTTTCCGTCACATATTTGCTCAAGAACACCGTTTTTGTCAAAAACAACCTAACAGTAATCAAATTAAACACACACAAAATGTACTCAAATTTACGCAAAAGAAAAAGAAGTTCGAAAAAGCTATCTCAAGATGTTGATGGTTCTCTTCACAAACCGATAGTGCAGCACAAGGGTCGGACACAATTCCAATCGTATACTTGCATTTTTTTACTACTGCTGCTGGAGATTCTCCCAAAGAAGCTCCGTGTTTGACTAACTCATCACACTGCATTTATGAAATAAAACATCTTTTGATCATTACATATTTACTTAACACGAAAGCTCAATGACTACTGCATTAATTACCTAATAAACCAACTGGAGAAAAAATAAGAACCTACTATCGTATTTGGTAGCGTGGAAATTGAATTGGTAGATTCTGCTGAATTATGAGAAAAATATGTCTAAAACATATGTAGTATTTTATTAATAAAATAAAGAATTATATGAAAAATAGCTTAAATGGTACGGAGTACTTTACAACAACTTCGCCCAATTCAATTAGAAAAATAACTTCAAATTTATTTATTTGATTATTACAAACTCGAGTTGGTGAAATCAATATTTGGTTTGTGCTTGTAGAGTAAAGTGTCGAATTATATTGGATCACGAAAAGGAGAATTCCGATACCTCCTGTGGCGGAAAAGTTACCGAGAGAAAAGAGAAATTAAGATTAGAGTTCGTCGCATAAGATATTGTAGGGAGAATTGTTTGTATGTGATTTTACTATCAAATGTCCTATAAATAGGGAGAAATTACAAACCCTAATACATATTCTAAAAACACGATTGAATACTACATAGAATTTTCTTCAACAAAGACCAATTTTTAGCAAAAAGTAAGACTTTCATGGCGGCTGCAACCTACTTTATATACTAAACAAAATTATGAACCGTTTAAAAGAACCCCTTTCAGTTTATCAGCTTTATAAATCTTTTTTATCAAACATGTAACATTTACTTTCACGTGTTGAATTGTGTAATAATCAAAATAATAACATCGTTGAAGATATATTTCTATCTAATTGGATGAAATTAATGTGGAGGGTCATTATGTAGTACGGAGTATATTGTTCTTTAATTTATTCATAAAATATATTTCAACCAATCCAAACGCATCAGTTAGAATTTCACTAATTTCATCAGATTCATCCGATTTAGCCAATTTCAACGTTACAAAATGAGCTCATATGTATCAGCCGATGAGTTCAATAATGTTTTCTTCTTTCTCATAGTTATTTTGTTACCGTTCTAGCCTAGAAGAGCTAGTGCCTACTTACATCTTCAGATATATTACCAAACGTCGGAAAATAATTTTTTAAGACGACGTCTGACGCATCTTAACTATAAAAGTCCATTTTCGAGTTATTCGGCCAACACTTACTCCCACACGTACAATCACCACATCCGATGCTCATGATCATATATGGCTCATCATCACTCAGCTCATGAGTGGCCATTCCAAAAAATATAGCAAACCGAAGTAGATCTTCAATTCATCAACGGGCGTCTAGTACGTCACACACTCATAATACTACGTTAATATCTGATCGAATTTGATTTGCAATACATTTATACATTGATGGCTAGATAGAATTATAGATAGATGGTATTTAATTAAGTTTACCCTAGAAAGAGTGCGATTCCAAACAGTGACCTTAAAGCCATGGTGGAGCAAGTTTGTGGCCATAGCTTTCCCCATTATTCCCATGCCCAAAAACCCTATCTCCTCCATTATTAGGCTCTTCAATTTCTGCCTTCACTGTCAAGGACTCCAGGGAAGCTTCAATGCTACAAGTTTTTTATTTCTCTTCACTCAAATAGTCATCCGTTTATATACTATATATGCCCCTATTTTAAAGGGATGTCTCTCTGCACCTAAAAAAACTTGGCACGCCAACTTTTCCGCCTGTTCAAATAATTATGCCCGCCTTGTTATACTTCTTTAATTCATTTGTTGTATCATTTTCCAGCAAGTTAGGCGTTATACATTTTAGGAAATCAATTTTTTGGGTACGTTCAATCCATCGTCCATCTTACCGTACTCATTAAAAGTGAGGCCGGGTATCGATCGTATGTATAACATGTATGACATGATTAATTCATGCCACTATTTTCATCATTCATATACTAGTATATTTTAATTGTTTAATTGTAATATTTTGAGTGATCCATATATGAGTTAAAGTACGGTGCTTTAAGGGTATCATTGAATTTGGGTTTTTATTGATCATTTGTTTTTTGGAAGAAGCTAGCTTGTTCGTTTATTAAGGTTAATTACATCGTTTGAGGTTTAGTCCATAGTTGTCTAAAGTTACCTAAATTGTACCTAACTCCTTGTACGTTTTCCACTTTCCATATAGTATGTATTTGCTTAATTTTCCTTAATGTTTAGCCTAACCTTGTGTTTCTAAAAATATTGGGGGAGACTTGCATATTTTTAGATGTAAGAAGAAGAATCAATAAAAACGAATTAATTAATTAGTTTGGGATTAATTTGATCTGTTTTAAAATAATTGTCTTATATATTTGTTACAGAAGATGTCAAAAAAAGACGTACTTGATACCATTACAAACAAAATTTGTGATGGAACATTTTCAAAAAATGAAAATTCATCGTGAACATTTGTAACAACATGTAACATTTTTCGTCTTCCTAATATTTCACTATTTCATCTTTCGAAGATAAAAATTTATATATAGTATATAATTATTCAAAAAAAATTCACTCTTACTTAATCGGTGCCCCCAATGGTTAGGATTTTTGGATCCGCCCCAGCTGTATGCGAGTTTAATCAACGCATTCATTCATTTTATAACATTGTTTCAGAATTTTGAACATTTTTCATACATAAATCATCGCCAAGATCCAGTGGTGGCTGAAGTGTCTTTCTGGCACTTTCTGGTTTTGATTAATTAATTAGTTTGGGGTGAAGAAATAAATAATAATGAGTGCCGCCGGAGAGGAAGAAGATCTCACCTTGGAGTACTCGCCGATGTGGGTGGCAGCCGCCGTCTGATTGACATCGTCTCCATTTACCTCGCCGTAGAACGTGTTCTCCACTTCAAAGGAGAGGTTAAAAACATTGTCTCAATTTACCTCTTATTTTCTTTCTTATTGAGTAAAAAACAACAAATAGCAATTACAAAATATTTCATTGTATTTTTATTTAAAAAAATCATTTTATTTTGCATTTGGAATTATGGAATAATGATCTAATTTGCTAAATGCAAACATTTAATTTAGTATCAAGAAGAAGAATCAGAAGCCTTTGTACGAAGCTCTCCGGATAGTTTCATACTTCTCCTCTTCTCTTACTAGCTAGGAACATTCTTCCATGAAATGCATTAAAGGTACCTTGACCAATGGAATGAAAACGGTATCATAACTATACATAGATATAATGTTTCAACTGAGAATACCATTCAAATTTGCAGCCAAAAAGTCCTTCATGGCAATCGAAATTCCATGTGTTGAGTCCACTGTACAGTGATGATGAACATAAGTAACGTGAAATGGACTTTACGCATATAATTTCGACCACCACGTATGACTTTTTGTCATCAAATTTGAATAATATTGTCAATTGAAACATTTGTGTATAATATGGTACTGATTTGATTCTTTTAAAAATTAAGGTACCAAAACGCAACATGATAAGAAGGTTATCATAGACTTTATTGAAGTGCAGAACCGGCCATAGGGGGTAGGCACCTAGGCAATGGCCTAGGGCACCACCCCCAAGGGGGCATCATTTTTTAATTAAAAAACTATTATTATATATATGCAATGTATATATGCAATGTATATTAATACATACTACGTATTAATACTCTATATGACCACTTACCATCCAATTTATAATGTCCTATACGGCCAGTGGGTAGGGAAAGGTCAAAACTATATTGAATAAAGATATTTAGAGCACCAGAATCTGCACTTTCACCCTAACATTCCAACTTCTACACTTTTAAGAATCAGATCCAAACATCTCATATGTTGTTAATTTCTCTTTGTACCCATTTTAATACACACCCCATACCCACTATATATACTCTAAAAAAAATTACCCCACTTCACTTCTTTTACCCCTTCCCCATCGTTCCTTTCTCTCCCCCTTCCTCTACGCGATTTTCCTCCTCTTTCTCCCATGCCTTCTTCTACGCCCGCCTTCATGAAGCGTTTTGCAAAAAAGAATCTCCATTCTCTTTCTTTCTCACAAAAACCTACCTTCTCTATTTTTCACTGACTGCAGATGAACCTTCGAGCAAAGGGTCAACCCTTTAAGCCACACTGATGCCCTCCAGTAATCCATCCTCCTAAATTCAACTCATTAGGTTATAATCTTCCTCCTTTTTTTGTAAATGCTCATTTAGGTTTTGATTGTGTTTTTTATTGATATTGTATGTTTTTATTTACAATATATGGACTATTGTTGGACTATTGTCATTTTTTTTCTACCCATAAACTTATTACTATGTTTTGGAATATATTTCCTGAGGAGGAAATTGTTCACATTTCTTTTGGTTCCCTGCGTTTATTAAATTTTTCATCATACAATTCCCAATTTATTACTCCAATTCTCTCATTTTAATTTTTCCTACTTTCTACCTTGATTTACTTATTCTCTATTTTCCTCCTCAACTAAACAGAGCATACATATCTAAAGTGATAAAAAAAATGTGATGTATTCTTAAAAATATATGGGATAAATCTATACACTTTATAAACCAATTGTTTTAGCTTCTAACATTGAGTTTAAAAGTGCTATATTTGTTATGTTAGTTGTATAATAATTTCAATTTTGAAAGATAGGATTAGAACCTTATTTGATTAATTTGGTAAGTTGGGCTACTCATAAAACTAAGTTTAGACATGCTTGGTATAATACAAAAACTTACTATTGGTGTGCAAATTTATTAGTACATAATGTTGGTGTTCTAGATTTCTAGGTGAACGGTAAATCACAAAACTTCTCACAATTGACACGAAGAGCCTTTTATAATAGTTGCAGTATATTTAAATACTTTTATTATTTTTTGGTTTTCTTTATATCATGTTTAGCAGGAGCCAACTTCTTTCCCTCAATGGGACAAGCAAATTCTCTTCATCTGAATGATTCCTTGCAGTTTGGTCAGGAAGAGGCGACTGGGCGAAGACATTAAGAATTATATATGTTGTTTACTTCTACTATGTTAGTTCTTGTAGTCTTTTTGTAAAGTATGTTCCACTGTTCTTATATTCACTATGTAAATATATTTAGAATGTAACATTGAAAGTGTCCGAGAATGTACTTCCCAAATGTTACATTATTAATGGATATGTATTTCATAGTTTCATCTAAAATGTCTATAGAAAAATAATGTCTGCGTTTTGTGTTCGTTTATATTGGTCACAGACAATTGCCACTAAAGCGGGTTAATATGGAAAGTGGAATTGTGTGTGAATCAGATATGAATTGTCTGATCACGGGCAATAGTTACTTTAACAAGCTAATAAATAGAGAGAAATTGTCTTTATATCATACATAAAGTGTCTTGTATTTATTTTCTATGCCAATTAAATTGTGAGAAATTGCAAATTTTCATTCATATTGTTTGTATGCGGATAAAACATTGTCTGTGTAATCATTTTTTTTGTTTGTGCATAAAAAATTATTGTTTGTGTGTTTGTTTATATTGTATGTACATGGTTAAAACATTGTTTATGTGTCTATTTATTTTGTTTGTCCATAGAAAGTAATGGTCTATGTGTTCGTTTATATAGTTTGTGTGTGGTTTGAACGTGTGTTTATTGTCCCTGCATAGGAAATAATTGTCTGTGTGATTGTTTATATTTTTTGTGCGAGACAAGCTTACCTAAGATTAATAATTATATTGTTTGTGAGCATCATAGACATCCTATTTTTATGCGAATAACCCTCTCAAGCTAAAAAAAAAAGCATTACACTAATTACACCCTGATTAATAGCACAACTTCAATTCCTTTGGCAGCATTCAAAGTCATTTTCATACTACAAAAGATAAACTTTGAAAGCACAAACAACCCCAATTACACTATTGTTGTCAAAAACATTAATTTCGCAATATAACTAATTACAAAAAATTAATATCACAACATTGCATTCATCCTCTTATCCAGCTCCGCAAGTTGAGACTCGAGATGAAGCAACGAACAATGATTTCTGCAACAAGAGAAATTCCAGAGCCAGTTGACTTGAAGTGTGCATTTAGATCCACCTTTTTTCCAATTAGAAGTTCATCCATATTGACCTCGAAAAATCCAAGATATTTAGGAGAACCATCCTTGCAATTCCAATGCTTCAATTTCCTTTACTGTATTTTCCTTTTTGCTAAGCCAGCTGGTCTTATGAAGTTTTTGAAGTTGTGGCTAGCTTAGATCATAACTGTTATGGCGCACTTTGAAACCATAGGTGCTGCTTGGTTCAATCTGTAAACCATGAACTATGAGCATAGTTTCACAAATTATCAGGGATAAACTTAAGTGAAAACCAAAAGCTAATCAACAAATATACAAACTGAACACTAAAACTTACCAAATTAAGGGATGAACCTACCGGGAGAGAAGGCAGGACGAACAATACTACTAAACACGATAGGTTAAATTTCGAAGTGCAAAATGAATAAATGATCCATATGACCTAAGTTGGAATGAATGGGAAGGCTGTGAGCATGAAGTTGGAATGAACAGGAAGGCGAATTGTATGATGAAAAATTTAATAAACGTAGGGAACAAAAGAAATGTGAACAACTTCCTCCTCAGGAACTATATTCCAAAACATACTAATAAACTATACTAGCTATGTAATAGGTTAATACATGCAGTTGTGTTTTCTCTTGTTAAAATAACACTTTCTGTTAAAACAAACATGTTTTCATTAATGCGCAAGAAACCG